CTGCAAGACAACGGACTATTTTCGGCCTATCACTTAACAAGGTTATTTCCGTACATCTGTGCGTCTGTGGCCTTAGGCGGTGTCAATGAGTTTGATCAGAGCATTGTTCCGCTTTCGTCGTCGGAGATCTTTCCCTGATATTTCCTGATGAGTCTGCAGCCAACCAGTAAAGTGTGTAATGTCCTATCGCTCACAACTGCTGCGTTAGACACAAAGCTAGGCCTAGCGACGATGTCTTCTATATGTTTGGCAATCACTTTGAGTAGGCATGGTGATGTCCGCTGCCCACGTCGGGAACAGGAAACCAACCAGTGACTGAATTAGGTGGACCGAGTACTTTCTCGGTTACGTAGAAATCGGGCAGAAAATTTTGTCTCTTTATTTCACGGAATATCATGTGCTCGGTCGCACAGATTGTCTGACTAATTTTCTCCGTTTATTCACCTTGTCTAACATGGGATGGTCATCGTGCGTTCGGTCATCTGTGTTCGATGTCCAAGTGGGCTTTCGTTTTTGGATCATTTTGATGGTTGTGAAAAGGTGACCGCTGCACTTTCGGCCACGATCGCCGTCATGAAATCTGTTGCATCAGCGGGCTCGTCTAATGGTCCTGCAAGCAGCATCCTAATGCGCACCAGTTTGTCCATTTTCCGGGTCACGAGCAGCGAGTTGGCAGCGATCGATATCGCAGTCCATGTCTAGCCAGTCTATTCGGAGTCTCATGGTGTTGGAGGCAGAGATGGTGGGGCAACGGAATAATCGGTGACCGTAGGCGGTGTAAGGGGGCATAGTGGGAGCTGCGGCAGTCACAATTTGTGGCAGAGGCGAGAATGAGCGATAACAAATACCGTCAGAACATTGCATAAAATAGATAAGCTCTCATCATTCTTGTCTGCCCTATTCCGTCTCCAATTTGTTTAAAATCGAGTCCCGATTTCGTTCTGCCTTGCACAATACTGTACTATATACTATACTATATTTTACTGGCACTATATACGTGGGGGGATTCGATAGGATTTAAAATCTAGTGCTCGCCTAAGTGAGATAACCAAAAGTGATCTGCATTTCGATCTGAAACCAGGGTGTGCTTTTTGATCTGCAACTTGTTTTCTAGTGAAACGAAATCCTTGATCTCGTTACATGGTACGGAATGAGTGCAACCGTATTTTGCTTGCTTGTAACTTGTCGCAAATCGAAATAGCTACGCTGCTGAATGAATAAATGCAACATCGGTTATGTAGACTGTATATCGAAAATCACAGTCCGATTCTTCCCAGATTTAAGCACTCTTATGAGGAATCCTTCTTTTGCAGTAAGTTCAGTCACGCAAAAGTCAGAACAACTATGAAAAGAAGCAGGTTTGGTGTTCACGGATCGTCAGAATTCGAAGAAGTGTTGTTAAAACAGTAATCACAATCTTCGTGACCGTAGCGATTTTGCTGTTTACAGGTTTATTCGGGAGGGGGCACGTGATGATTGATATTCCCAAACAAACTCTGACTGTTTGTGCACAACTACAGTGAATTAGTTCATCGCGTTGCAATTAAACCAATAAAAGCGCTCGAATAAGGATATAAGAAGGCTTGTGTCCAGTGGTACCGTTTTGAACGCTTTTGTCTGTTACAAAACACGTTGGAGATAACAAGCTCCTGGCCATATGGGGAAAGTCAGACTTGCGTTGCGCGGTATTCATCGTAGATACAGGCTTGTCTCCTGAGACACAGCAAGTTGTTTATACAATGAGATTCTCTGGGTGGAGTTGTGATAATTGTCACATTCCTTTGTCCGGAATCCATCGTGCGTAGGGACGTCGCTATGTTACCTCCGGATGACAGGACACTCCATAAACAGCACTACGGTGGGTGTTTCGTGCCACATTTTTACATGATTTCCTATCGTTCTACACCCCAGGAAGTTCACAGCTTTGTTCCCCCAGAGATGATATTCCTCCGAGATAACCACCATCAATTCAGCAATTTCGAGTGGCGGGATTCGGGAAAGGCAAACCAGCGCGAATTCGTTCGAAACCTGCTTATCCAGCTGAGCTAACTGAACAAGAGTTTCAAACTCAAAACTTAGCTGATATCATCCTCACTTGCTAAATGTTTATTTCCATAAGTTTTCGAACACGTGATCTCATATGTCTCGTGACATTTACTGGTCATAGCACTCACAGAATTTACCATTAGTGCACCAAATGTTAGCTTGAAGTATACACAAGAAACGGATCTAACAGTTCTCCAAGATCAGCCCGAAATAGCTCATGGACCGCAAGCTTCATGGTTCGAAGCCGACTCAGGCATCTTGACTAGTCCTGCCTAGGCTCCCGTGTTTCCTTCGGGTGACATTATATGTATGCTCCGAAAGGATTTTCGGAGGGGCTTGGTGCACCTACATTTGTCGCGAAATGACCAAACTTCACAAAGGAGGCTGTGTATGTAGAAGTGAATGAGGAATGTGTCCCAGAGCTATGCCACCAGAACCAAACAAACCTCATACCGATTGGTGATGTTTTTTTTGGACGGGGGTGTTCGGGACACTCGGCGAAGATTATGCAGGTTTATTTCACTGACTGAGACGTAGAAACGAAGCCAAAATGAGATTCTGACGCGTTGCATCTGGGAAACGAGAAGTAAGGAAGCAACACCAGAGACAAAAACCAACTAGTCATTAGACAAACAAGGTGTATGCTTTGAAGCCATGGACATAAATTCCATCCGTAATGACCGAAGTTCAGTACGAGATGTATGATATTGATATGATCAAAAAACATCTTCCTGGCCTCACACCGTTTTAGTTTCAGACTTGGAAAGCTGATGTCAGACCATATATATCAGCCCAAAATCACTTTAACAGAGGGCTAGATGATCTCTTCCTTTCGAACAGTAACTTAGGCCTCGGCTTGGTTGGTTTTTGTTGGTTATTCGTTTGTGACTAGTGTTCACTTTACCTTTGAGAACTGGTTCACACGAGCCTTGTCAAATTACGGCTAGGCTATCTCGAGCTCAAAAGGGTACGCAGAGCTTGGAAGCAGACCATATGAAAATTATTCAGGAACAAACACGTTAGTCACATTAGAGTGAAGGATGCCTAGGAAGGTGGCCGGAAATAATCTCGATGCAGAAACGTCCATAATTTCACTCGGCATTTACAACCCACGATGCAACAGTACTACTTCCCCCTGGTCGAAATGTTTTGCTGAATATAACAACCACTATTTGGTGCCGGCTCGAGTCGATCACAACACATTCGAATAGCAGATTATCATTACAGTCTAGCTCTGACCTCATGACCGGTGATTGATTCAATTTCTCGGTGGGTCGATTAAATGCGAGCATCGCCTCAGCCCCGTACCAGCGCAATGGGACAGGCAATCAAGCGTCGTCCGAGCGTTTCAGTACGAACCGACTAATCAATGGGATAGCTCACGTACCGATTTTGACAGAGAGGGGTGGTGGTGTGATCAAGTAAGCGGCTGAGCGAATGCATTCGCTTTGGGGTGCACGTGTCATCGCCCGTGGTGGGGTGGTCCGACATAGCGGAGCTCAGTTTATCGCTTGATTGTACTTGCGTTCGATTGGTCAGTTTGGTGGATGAACGCTGCTCTGAAGAAAACGGGCCCATCGGACGAACTACACATATCCGACGAACATCACAGCCAGCTGGTGAAGACGTGCACTGACTGACGCAAGCAGATCAGTCTAAAATTTTACTGAACGACAATCCAGTTTTACTTATATCGTTTTGTCTCATACGTTTGCGATAAGTAATTTTCCAATGGACTCAAATTGTTTCTGGTCGACACCTAGGAGACAAAATCCCAGTCCCTTTCACGTGCACACTAATGATGGCAACGTGTCCTCGCAAACACCTGGACTGATTCGGACCACTGCATCCGGTAAGCACATCTGTTACTTATAGCTTAATTCGATTAATCTGAGTTGTACTGTGTTCCCAGTCTGAGAACTCGGTTATTTAGATTGAGGTAGGCTTTCCTTAGGATGAATGCCACGTTCCTCGGGAGTTTTGATGCCATTTTTCTGTTGTCCCGTTGATCTGGCAACAATAGTCACGGCAAGACGGTCGCAAATTTGTTAGTTGTTCTGAGATTGGATTGATCCCTTGTGAATAAAGATAATATCTCCAAAACAGCCTACTTTGGTTGACTTGTAATTACCCGAACGAGTTGGTTAGCACCGTAAGAACGATTCGTATATCACATTGGCCTTCGGGAATCGAATTTCACTGGAGTTCTCTCAGCTCTTACCAGTATCGGAACTGACTAGATTACCAATCTCCACAGTGTTGTACCGTTTTGTGCGCTGAAACTCAGATAAAGACTGTTGGTTCTTGAAAACAAGCTGTTTGTGAACACAATTTGCACTGTCAATTTAGAACCAAAACTTTTGTCCGAGTGTTTTTCCACCGTGCGTTATTTTAGGAACACGCTGAGAATATCTTGTAGTCTCATCAACATTATCAACGTCATCGTTTTCATCATCATCGTCCCCACACCAGCTGTCTATAGAAGTGGAGCACATAACTCATCTTTTGTTAGTCGATAAGAGTAAGTGAATGTAAGCACTTGGTTAGTTAGACCAATAACTTGTTGCGTCAAAACCATCAAGTACTTAACCTCAATGGAGCGCTCTTCATCAATGCGACCACAAGTTGGTTCTTTTTTTTTTCAAAATAAAACGAAGCTATCATCCACGATATAACATCACCGTTCAACAGTGCTGCTTCACTACCGTACTAATATGGTTTATTTGATAGCTTTATTGTGGACGGAGAAGGGAGTTGGTGCTCTAGGGACCTCAATAATATGTAGGACAAGAGTGTCTGCCATTCCTATCCGAGCGAGTTCTGTCAAACGTTTGGGCATCAGAAAATAAGCCTGACCGTCATATCTATCCTTCCATGGACTACCTACGTTTTCTGTCCAACAATAAGCGGTATTTTTCTACGCTATAGCTCTTTTAGGTTCTTATTGAGGACAACCAAGCCGTTATACAAGCAAGTGAGCAGGAGTGTGGCAGCTTGGTGTTTATGCTAACATTGTCCAGACGTTGGGTTCTGGTTAGGAGGATAAATTTTCAGGCTCATTTTGGTTTCGTACCCATCCGTGCATTCATGATCTCACCGCAGTTGTTTGATCAACCAGTTCACGCCCATCACTGGAAAAAGCGTTCAGAAATTTGTCGTAATTGTTTTCCGTGACGAAGACTGCTCAAACTTTCCTACTTGACAGTGAAGTGGAGATTAGATTATAAGGATTTCATCATGGCAGTGTGACATTGCTACGTCGTAGGTGGTTATTTGCAATTCATTTGTCGTGATTTAGCTGTTACACCGGAGCCTGTTCACTGTGGAGTCAGCTCGTGGAGGAATAAGCTGAGGATATGGGAGGTCAGGATGGAATAGTCAATGGCTACTCAGGAAAACTAAATCTTTATATTATTTTAACTGATTGGATTGAGAATATTAGGCATTGTTGTTGTGTGGTTCTGACTTTGATTCGACCTATTCCTTAGAGTACCACTTGGACGTTTTATACCAGAAAACATCGCATAATTTTCCAATTTTCCGCTTCTGAGACCGATGGGCTAATCACACGATGTGTGAACCTGACTTAGAAACATAACTGAAAGATTCAGCTGGGTTCCATGTGAGTCTCCCGCAAAAACAAATTGGTTTACAAATAAGGGTAGTTCGGTAATTTCTTGTAATTTGAGTTCAAGTAGAACATGAGCTGAACGGGGACTCGGGGACTGCGCCTACCTGATGAGCACCAAGAAGGGGGGAACCGGTTGTGGGCTGTCGACCAATTTTCAGCAACCTTATGGGTAGTGCATTATGTCTAACTGACATTTCTTATGGACCACCTTGCAGTCCTGCCGAGGAGTATATATATGATATTGATAAACATGAATATGCATCCCAATAGGCACGGTCACATTGGCCCTTCCGTCATTATGGACCGGACAGTCAGTTGAACAGTTAGATAGCGGTTTCAAGGCGTTCTGCGTGATATTCAGTGCCAGCCGGTGGAATTGTATGCCTAGAGAATCCGAAGTGAGCATGAACTTTGGTTTCAACTAACTGCCGACTAGTGATATGGTACCGGGGATTTTGGCTGAATGTTCATCAGTCCTTACGCTCGGTCTAACGATGATCCCTGTACGTATTCTCGATGAACCTCGATTGAGCTGAAGGGTCTCCGATGCCTGGGTTTTTCCTGCTGGAAGCATGGATAGGTTTAAGGAAGAACATAACTCGACCACTTCTCTCTCCAACCCAAACAGTTGCAAGCAGGAATCGGCAATGCAAGAGCTTATTAGAAAAACCGCCGTTTTTCTCAACCATTGGGGTTGCGAATCCCTAGAAAAAATAAAGAGGCTCTGACAGTGTTGGTCTTTGACATTAGAGTAAGTCCTGGTTATGGGATAGCTCAGTCTTCTGACTGACGGTGAGCTTGACCACGGTATCCAAAGTGTTGCTTCGTGTCAACGGAGGCGCAAAATCCTCACCGACATTTAACTCCACAAAGTACTCACTGCTAGTTGCATTCTATGAAAGCCTTATTTGTATCTCGGGCTCAAAAGCATTCTGAACGAGAGAAATGCAGTGAACATAAATGACTCAGTATTCGAAGCCAATGAACAGTAAAACAAACGTGCTTAGAAAAGTGAGACCGATAAGTCATTTTTTATGAAAATGAGGCTCGATGTTTGTGTAGAACTGTTCCGCATGCTGAATATGCATTGTCGATTGTTGGATCCTTCAAGTGCTATCTAATATCTTGACCCAGAAGAAGGTTAGCGCCAAGACAAGACAAACATCTTCCTTTCACAGTAATTTGAGCGACAAACGTTCCAAATCACCAACTGAGTTTTTGTCCCGCGCGTGAAACCAAGCTATGCTAAAACACCCAATTCTCATCAGCATCTCCCCTCCCCCCCCAAAAAAAACTCAAGAAAGTTACGAACCCTGTAACCAGCTGGCTAGTAATTTGGACATAACCGTCTGGGCACAAATGCCTGACTGATCAGCATTGTAATCAACTCGCACTCATCCTTCAATCACCGAAACCAAGTCACGTACACAAGTACAGACTGGTTCCCAGTGTAATGACTCCTCAGTTTGTCATCTTATGAGAGTATTCTTCCTCTGTGGTCGAACTCATCCCTACAACTCAGTGTTGTTTTTCCGTTGAAATGTACGTTCTGCTCAATTGTTCGTTGTGAGTGAACTTTTGACGCCACGTGCGTCCATTCCTTCCTCAGTGTGAAAAGTTCGTTTTGATTAAGTAAACCACCATTTAGGTTAGACAATTCTGCGCACGTGTGGAGGGGGCGGGGGTTGAACTGGTTTAAAAAGACGCATTGCATGGAAGGGGGAGGGTACAGTAACCGTCTAATCTCAGCAGAGTGCAACCCCAGAAAAAAGTGGCAAACGCGATTTTTTGACACCTGGACAAATAGCGACATCTACTCCAGCCCTGATAAATCATGAGTCATCATCCCATTGGTGGAAGCTTTAAATTTTACGAAAGCATGATGAGCGAGTAAATTAGCACGGTAAGTTGGAGGTATCACTTGAATGGACACATGGTTTAAGGTTTACTGGACATGTGGATCATTGCTAAATATCCTACCTGAATATTCTATTCGTTTACTTGAAATTTTAGTTGATTCCGTCCAGACGCGCTCGCCCTACAACGTTTCACCCGCGAACACAAAGAACCCCGAGACAAGAATCGGAGGAGGACGCCCATGTCTAGCCGGCACACAAACGGCATACCACCAAGCAAACCAACATACAACTGTTACAGAATTGCCTAATATCAGCACCTTCGGTGATCTCACACACGATTCGAGCGGTTTCGCTTCACTGCTGGTCGATCAGAGTAACAACAGCAACTTC